GGTGGCAAGGTGGGCTGGAGTAGCACCTACAGCAGAGAACTGGAGGGTATTTAGTGGGCAATTTTTATTAAACCAGTTCTCATCAAGTGTTGGTCACGTGTCAGACAGACACATGTTACAAGGAAATTGAACCATGCACGAGACAGACACCATGTTTCCCTCGTGGGGTTTCCCATCTGGTATAGGAAACAGACCTTAAACAACTAAACACAAATATATCACTGTGAGGTATGCTATGTGCTTGAAAGAAAAGAACAGGGGGGCTGGAACGATGGGGCAGTGGAGGGTGTGCCCCTTTAGATGGGAAGGCCTCGCAGAGGAGGTCCTGTTGAAGCTGGAACTAACCATGCGCAGAGTGGAGGGGAAGTGTATTTTTGGCAGAAAGAATACCTGGCAAACAGGCCGAAATGGAGCAGTTTGAAATCCCTGAGGCAGGAGAGAACTGGGCGTGTTGGAGAAAGAGCAAAAGCAGCGTGGCTGACGTGTGGTGTGGTGAGGTGCTCAGAATTTATTTGCAGCGCAACGGTTAAGTCATTGAAAGGTTTAAAGTGAGAGAGTGCTAGGATCTGATTTATGTGTTTAAAAGATCTGGAGAACCAATCAGAGGACAGCAAGGATGGCAATAGGGAAACCAGCCAGGAGGCCACTAAAGAGGTCCAGGTGTGAGATGGTGACGGTGGCTTGGCCGAGGGTGGAAGAGGTGGTAAAAATGTTCAATTCAGAAGGGGTGAATGAGAGGGAGATTTCTGGTTTACGCACCGGGTTGGATGGAGGTGCTGTTACTTAGATGAGAAATACTGAAGGGTGGGGCAGATTAGAGGGAGGCAGATCAGGAGGTCAGTTTTGGACATGTTGCTTCTGAAATGCCTGGGAGACATCCAGGTGGAGGCACCAAGCAGGTAGTTGGGGAGCTCAGGGAGGTGTCTGAGCTCAGGAGAGAGATCTGGCCTCAAGTTTACTCTGCAACCCACTCTGGTCAGTCTTCTATCCCATCTCTTCCCCATAGATGCCCTTGGAAGGATCCCATGAATCACTATGACCTCTTGGTTGCCAGACCCAGTGGATGATTTTCAATCTCATCTTCCTCAGCCTCTGCAGCATTTGACACAGTTGGCCAAACTGTCCTCGAACACATCCTGTTCCTTCTCTGACACCACTCTCCTGGTCTTCCCTATCTCTGTGGCTCCTCTGCCGGCTTCTTGTCTATACCCAATTTAAATCAATGGTTTCCAATTTCTAATTTAAAAAAAGTAGAACTCATAGGTATACATATTTTAATTTCACCTTTTAAAATTTCTATTTTTGTGTATATTTTATAAACGTGCATATCTGTATAGTATACTGAGGGGTACATACTTAATTTTTCTGACGGTGTGCATTCAAAAAAGTGCAGACCGTTTAGCTGAGTGAGACGATTTCTAGGTAATTTCATTTGGCCCCATAGCTTTAATTACAATCTGCATATTTCTAAATCCAGAATTTATCTCTGACCCTAGTCCTGGCTAAGCTCCAGACCCTGTAGCAGCTGCAGTGTACAGTGTTCAGTGGAGACCTGCAGGAGTTAAGTGATGAGGGAGAGTGGCGTGTTCCAGACCAAGGCAAGAGCCTTGGAGGCAAGAGAGCCCTGTGCCTTCAAGACCAGAAAGAATTGCTGGTGGCTGGCTTGAAGATCATGAGAGGGTCAGTAGTGAAAGATGAGGACAGATGGGGCCAAATGGTGGAATGCCTTGTGCTGAGAGGTTGGACCCTTCTGAGGGCAATGGGGAGCCACTGAAGCATTTATATCCAGGGAGGAGGCATACACTTGAGGTGTATTAGTAGAGGATCACAATATCTCTTCATTTTAAAGATGAGGGGAGGGATTTCCCTGGTGGTTCAGTGGCTAAGACTCCACGCTCCCAGTGCAGGGGGCCCGGGTTTGATCCCTGGTCAGGGAACTAGACCCATGTGCGCAACGGAGAGTTCACATGCCGCAACTAAAGAGCCCACAGGCCACAACGAAAAAAAGATCCCACATGCTGGGATGAAGGTCCTGCGCGCCGCAACCAAGACCCAGTGCAGCCAAATAATTAAAAAAAAATTAAATAAAGGGGAATTCCCTGGCGGTCCAGTGGTTAGGGCTCTGCGAGTTCACTGCTGTGGGCCTGGGTTCAGTCCCTGGTTGGGGAACTAAGATCCTATGAGCCGCACAGTGCGGCCAAAATAAAATAAAATAGAGTAAAATAAGGCCTCAGGGGGACCTCCAGAGTGGTCCAGAGTGCCAGTGGCAGAGCCGACACTGGATCCCCAGGCTCCTACTTCCCAGTGCAGTGCCCTTGTTGCATTTCCATCCACCCTTCATCTCAGGCAGCATCTGGAGCACAGGGAACCTCCAGCTGGAGGAAACCCTGACATTTGGCATGGCCACCGTCCATGTAATATATCCCTAATACCTTTGCTTTGATCCTCCCTGTGGGTCAGACTCTTGGAAAACCAAGATAAATAAGGACCACGTGGTAATTGGTCCCTATTATTGCTGCACACTGTTACCAGTCTTCTCAACAGTCCTGCAAGTCAGTGGAAAGTGAAGCTAAGAGAGGTGAAGCAACTTCTTCTGTATCATACAGCCAGGACCTGGGGAAGCTGTGATTCAAACTCTCTTCTGTCCAGTTTCCAAAGCTGAGCTTTTTCCTTCTTGTACATACCAAGAAACTCAGATTTCAGCAGTGGAGACAGACCCTTTAAAAAATAATTTGATACAATGTGTTCAGTGTTACAAGTAGATACTGAGGTGGGCTTGTTTGCCTTAGGAGACTGGTAAGACTGGCGCATTTGCTGGGTTTTCAGCATGCATAGTTCACCAGAAAAACGGACAAGATTATACTGGTAACAAGTCGAGGAGAACTGGAGTGCCTGGAGCTCAGGATGGAGTGGGCAGGCAGGAAATGACAAAGCAGTAAGAGTGAAGGGTCTCCTGGGCCAAGCCTGAGTCAACTTTGACTTCCCTTTTCCTCACATTCTATATCCAAGCCATCATCAAGTCCTGTTGGCTCAAATACATAACTGGAAACTGACCATTTCTCACCACCTCCATTGCTACCACTCTGGCAGCTGGTCCACGCCACCTGCAAATCTCATCTAGCTTTCTGAAAGAACTTCCCTCTGCCCTTGCCTACCTACAGCCTACTCCGGACAAAGCAGCCTGAGAAAGAGACAGAGAGAAATCCTTCTAACACTGTCACCCTTAGCCTTAGCTGCAATTTAAAATCTACCGGGGAATTCTCAAAAAGTTCCTATGTCTGCACCTCACCCCAGATATTCTAATGTAATTGCTATGAAGTGGGGCCCAGCTAGAGGTATTTTTACAGCACCCCAGATGATTCGAACTTGTAGCCAGGGTTGAGGAACACTGTCTCAGTATGTAAATCTCATATCTCTTCTCTGGCCAAACCCTCCAACACTTTCCATTTCACTCAGAGTAGAAGCCAATGGTCTACAGGGCTGTATGTGATCTGGCCTCCTGTGATCTCTCTTTCCTCCCCCTCGTTCATTCCATTCCAGCCACACTGGCCTTTTGGTTCACTGAACAAACAAGGCACACTTCTACCTCAGGGCCTCTGCCCTTGTTCCCTCTGTCTGAAAAACTCTTCACCCAGAAGTCTGCCTTAAGTCTGGCTTAATCCTTGACCTCCTTTAGGTCTTTGCTCAGCCATCACTTTCTAGTCTTCCCCCTATAAAATTGCAACTCTTGTCCACCATTCTCTGTCCTTCTTATCCTGCTCTATTTTTCTTTATAGCACTTGTCACCGTCTGACTTCTGATGTATTTTAAGTACCTTGTCTGTCTCTTCCCCACTAAAATGTAAACCCCAGGAGACTGGGAATTTTTAAAAACTGCTAAATATTTCTATTACCTGTCTGACATATAGTAGGGGCTCATTAAATCTCTGTTGAATAACTGAACTTCTGTATGTCTGTGTTTTGGTGGAGGCTGGCACGTGGTTTGGGCCAGGTAGAATCTGGGGCACTAAGGGATACCAGGGGAGAGGTCCAGCATTTGGGTTTGAAGATGATGACTGAAGCTGTAGGACCAGCCCAGAGGAACATGGACATAGGGACAAAGAAGCCGCCAAACCTGCTTCTCCCCATGTGCATCTTGATGGGTGAGACCTCCATCTGCCTGGTCACCAGACAGGCACCTGAGGTCATCCTGGACTCCTCACCTCCACATCTCACTTCCCAAACAAGTTCTATATTATTGTCTAAATATCTCCAAAATCTGCCACTTCTGTCCACACTAACACAACCATCCTCTCCCCCAGACTACTGCCAACCCAGCCTGGGGGCCTCTGTTGGTCTCCACCATACAGGTTAAATGGTTTTCCTAAAACATCTGACCTTCTCCCTCTGACTGAAAATCTTTCAGTGGGCTCCCCACTGCCCTGGGGGCCAAAGCGCAGCTCCCACAAGGCCCTCTGTGCACGTGGGCCGGACTCTGAACTCATCTCTTGCCGCTCAGCCTATAGGCCCCCAAGGCGCAGGACTTCCTCACACCTGCGGGCCTGGGCTCAGGACTCAAACAAAGCGAAAGAAGCGATTCTTGTTGGGAGAAGGCTTTCCTGCGGACCGCGCTGTCTCCTCTGGCCCCCCTGAGCCTCACCTCACGCCCACTCGTTACTGACACTGTCTGGCAGTCTATCCCCCGTGTGGCTGGGGGCGCCTGAAGGAAGTACTATAATTGCAACGGGTCTGTGTGGGTCACTGCTACGTCAGGGAGAGGAGACTAGCAAGGTTGCCCCAGGGAGGCAGAAGGGGAGCCAGGAGTCAGTCCTAGAAGCCAATGGGTGAGTGTGCAGGGTGTTCCGCTGCGTCAGCGAGGCCCGAACCGCCCTCGGGAGGAGGAGCCTGGGCTCCCGAGCCGCGCAAGCGGCCCTCGTTCCCACCAAGGGGCACTGACCACTCTGCGCCCGCAGGCCTGGCGGGAGTCGCAGGGCTAGGGCTCACCCGGCTACCCTCGCAGGCGAGCTTCATCTCTGGGCTTCTGCATCCGAGCGGAAAGGGCGGGGACGCCCGCCAAGCCGTGAAGCGGGTGGCCTGAAGTCCCGGCGCCGCAGGAGAGCCGGCAGTCTTCCTGCGCAGGCGCTCTGCTCAGCTGGGAGGGGCGGGGCCTGGACGGGTCGGGGGGTGGAGTCAGCTCCTGGGCCCGCCTCCACCAGCTCCCGAGAGCTGCAGAGTGCTGGGCACCCGGGCTATTCTAGGGGCTTCAGGTGAGCAGGGGGAACGGGTCAGGAGACCTCCCTTGAGGTGGGGCCGTCGGTCTGACTGCGGGTCCATCTGTCCTGCCGTCTGCCAACAGCCGCCTCTGCGGAAAATGGGAGAACAAAGGGAGGGGGCGGTTCTGGGGCCCCTGAGGGAATCCAGGGTCCCAGGGCCCCCGCCTTGCCCGCTGACACTTTCGGTTTCTCCCCGAGTCAGAAGCGCCGCCCTAGAGACCCTGGGCCGGCGCTGGGCGCAGCTGCCGCTCTGCGTTTGCCTGTCCATCTTTGTGTCTGTCTTTGTGTCTGTCTGGCTGTCTCCGAGCTTGCCTCCACTTCTAGAACTAAACCTCCGGGACAGCGACATCCCGCGAACCCTCGCCCTTCTCCCATGGCAGGTAAGTGGTCGCAAGGCCGAGGGTCTCCGTTATCCGCCCCCCCGCCACGGACTTGGGAACCCGGTGTCGGACGCATCCTCCGGGAATGTGCTCGGACTGGCTGTGTGGGGCCCCTCCCTTCCTCCCGAGAAGCCGCCGCCCTGCTCCCCCGCCCCATCTTTCTCATTCTCTTCCCACCACATTTTCCCCGCAGCCTCGCGGCCCATGGGCCAAGGGGTAAAGAGATGAGGTCGGGGGCCCCTTCTAACCTACTCCTGTTCCCCCACAGGCTACTTGCCCCCCACAGGCTACGCCCCTTCGCCCCCACCTCCCTACCCTGTGACCGCTGGGTACCCGGAGCCGACGCTGCATCCTGGGCCCGGGCCGGGGCAGGCACCAATGCCCGCCCACGTGCCTACCCCTGCGCCCGGCTTTGCTGTCTTCCCCTCGCCCGGCCCTGGGGCCCCGGGACCAGCTGCCCCCTTTTTGCCACTGCCAGGGGTGCCTTTTGGCCTCGAATTCCTGGCGCAGGTGAGTGAGAGGGAGGGAGGGAGGGAGGGAGGAGTGACAGGGAGGGGACCCAGGCGACTAGGCCAGCCAGCTGATGTCTGCGCGTTCCCCTACTCTCTTTCCAGATTGATCAGGTCTTGATTCACCAGAAGGCTGAGCGGGTGGAAGGTGAGTGAAAGGAGGAGTATGTTGGGCCTCGTGACGGGGGCAAATAGTGGACTCTTGGGCAGGCGCTGGTGTCCGAGCCTCAGTGTGTCACCCCTTGGCAGCGCTCCTGGGCTGGGAGACCTGTAACCGCTACGAACTGCGCTCGGGAGCCGGACAGCCCCTGGGTCAGGCGGCAGAGGAGAGCAACTGCTGTGCGCGGCTATGCTGTGGCGCCCGCCGGCCCCTGCGTGTACGCCTGGTGGACCCCGGGGACAGAGAGGTGCTGCGCCTGCTCCGCCCCCTCCACTGTGGCTGCAGCTGCTGTCCCTGTGGCCTCCAGGAGGTGGGCTGGGAAGGATGGGGCCAGGGAGAAACTTGGGTAGGGGGCAGGCCGATGACCAGGGCACGACCGGGATGAGGCATGAAATGAGGCGTGCCTCCTGTGGGAGCTGGGCTTAGGTGGGATGGGAGGTCTAGTGAGAGGGATGACAGGTGGTCTAGTGAAGGGGATGGGAGGTCTTGTGAGGGGAGACAGGTGATAAAGCTAGACCGGTGAGTGCTTGGGCCAGGGTGCCTGGCTAGGCAGTGATCCTGTCTGCTGCCCACTCCAGATGGAAGTACAGGCTCCACCAGGCACCACCATTGGCCACGTTCTACAGACCTGGCATCCCTTCCTCCCCAAGTTCTCCATCCAAGACGCTGACCGCCAGACCGTCCTGCGAGTGGTGGGGCCCTGCTGGACCTGTGGCTGTGGCACAGACACCAACTTTGAGGTATCAGGAATAAGGGGAGATTCCTGGGACCTTCAGAAACCGAGATGATCCGTGCGGCAGGATGGCCAACAGGACGGTCAAGAGCTCATCAGTCCAAATCCACTGTGGTGCCTACCACATTTCCAGTTTTCCTCTATTCAGAAATAGGATGGCCCACGGTCTTATAAAAATATGGCAAAGAGGGTTTCACCTGAAGGGCCAATGCTGATTGTGACCTGCAGCCCTGTGTTGAGGGAGAAAAAAAATCTAAGGTCAGGCTGGATTTAGGGTGAAGGATGCTTACTGAGTGTACCATGGGCTGGGCCCGCATGGCCGCTGTGTGTGAGTTCGTGAGCCCAAGCCCTGGAGCAAGCATTAATTTAACTTGTTAACATCCTGTGGCTTGCCCTGCCAACCGATAAGTCCAGACGTCCACCCACCCACCCCCAGCCTGGAATCCTTCTTACCATGCATTTCAATCACCAACCTGGAGCCTGGAGAACCCAAGTGATGACCATTTCAAAGTAAGGCCTGGGAAACACCTTACTTTCTAGAAGACAGAGGCACTTGAATATCTGTGTAGATAAGGGAGAAACAACAGGTGTATCCCAGTAGACTTTCCAAGGCTTCTGATGATGTGCCTTATCTTAGGTTACTTTTAAAAACTGAGTCACCTTGGTAGCTGGGGGAAGGTTCTGTGATGGGAACTGGTTGGGAAAGAGGTAACTGGGTGAACTCTGGTTGGGAATATGTAGATCGTGGGGTTCTCAATGGGCCAGTCTTCCTTTTACATAATTATGAATGGTCCACATTTGGGGCTGCACTGGGACCGCATACCCACCCTGGGACTGGTCTGCAGGAAACGGCCAAGGGCTGTAGGACCATGCGGGAAGGAGATGGGAAGGACATCGCTCTAGTTCTAGCCACTGGAGAATGAGCATAGGAAAAAGTCCAGGGAGTCACAGTGAATTACCATCCACACTGGCAGGGCCTGTTGCTGCTGGGCCTAGGGAGGCCAGTGGAAATCCTGGTCCTCAGAGGCCACTTTCTGCTGTCCCCTCCCCCCACTAGATGGGCTTGGATCCACCCTGGATGAGGCTTGCATGCCATGCTAGAGTCCTCCCTACCTTGCAGATGCGAGGACGACAGGCACCCCTTTGGGCCTTCTAGCAGCCTGGTCGGCTGGTAGAGTGCAGCCAGGCATTCAGCAGCCTCCCTTGCCGGCTTGGCCAGGCTACTCTGTGCAGGGCACAAACTGCACGAACCGTGGGCGGCAGGGACTTTGGTAACCAAAACAAACCTAGTGCCTGGCCATCCCCTAAGGAGATTAGACTGTATTGTGCTTCTGTTTCTCCCAGCACTGATGTCTAGTAGTCATACGTGGCTTTCAAGAACAACGGATCTGAGCCTGCAACCTGATTTTTGCTGTGTACTCACAGTGTGACCTCGGGTGCCTCAGTTTCCCCAGATGTCACATGGAAACCCAAGGCTTTGGGAGGACTCGCTAGGTGTAGAGCCTGCACAGTTCGTATGTGGTGACTGTGGGAGTGAGACTGGATGCCGATGAGATCAGGCACATCCTCCCCATGCAGGTCCTCCCTCCCTCCCTCTTTCCTTCTCTCCTGCCAGGTGAAGACTCCAGATGAATCCCGCAGTGTGGGCCGCATCAGCAAGCAGTGGGGTGGGCTGCTCCGAGAAGCCCTCACCGATGCAGATGACTTCGGCGTGCAGTTCCCACTGGACCTGGATGTGAGGGTGAAGGCTGTGCTGCTGGGAGCCACGTTCCTCATTGTGAGTCGGGGCCCCCGCCCCTGCCCCCCGCTGCCCTTTTGCTCTCACTCTGAGGTTTTGAGCACTTCTTGGTCTCCTGCTAGGAGAGGGTTAGGGACAGAGTCTATGGGGGCTTGTGGTTCCAGACCTGGGTTGTGATTCCTGAGCCAGGCTGGCCCAGCCAGATCTCCTGCTGACCGTGCCCTTCCCTCAGGACTACATGTTCTTCGAGAAGCGAGGAGGCGCTGGGCCCTCTGCCATCACCAGTTAGAGGCCACCTCGGGGTGAGGAGACCATCATCTCAACCAGAATTCAAGATGGTCACCTGCCCTGGCCCCGCCTCAGAGGCAGCCCCTTTCCCTCCATGTGCACTGCAGGGGAGAGACAGGGCTGCCTGAGAGGCTGGAGGCTTGGTGCCTCCCCAATGCTGGAGGCATTGGTGCCCCATGCCTCCCCTACTCCCCTGGCCTGCTTCACCTGTAGCCCCTCCGGAAGGGTATGTACGAGAGCCCTTCCCCTGCTACTTCCCACCACTGCCTCCAGCAGACCCTCAGCACACGGGCGTATCGGCTTTCCAACTTTCCCTGCTGACTTTCTCCCAACCCCCTCCAGGGCCTCTGCTCCAGATGAGGCCTTAGAATGCAGGGTTTTATGACAGGGCTGGGGTGGGGAAGGTCAAGCAGCACCGAAGACGGCTGACCCGGTCACCCTCTCCCCGCATCAGCTTGGCCAATTAGTTCAGCCTCAGATGATGGCGCTCTGAGGGGGATCCCTACCTCCCCCGCCCCGATAGCTATAGGGCCAGGGCCCCGATGCCGACTTCCTCTCCCTCAGCTGGTGCTTGCTGCAACTTCCTGTGCCTTACCACCCCTTCCTACCCCTTCCTTAGGAAGGAGGCTGCATCTTTGTATGTTATATTCGTATAAACTTTGTAACTTTTTGGACATTGGAAGATGTATGTAGTGGGAGAGGGCAGGAGAAAGAGTTGGGTGTGGGAGGAAACAAAGGGAAATATGACAGCTTGGATGGGCGGGGGCTGGCCCATCTCCTAATCCATGCTGCCAGGATCAAGTGTCCTCGAGTCCAGGAGAGCCACTTTCATCACCCATGATGGCCCCAGACCAAGCCAAGGCAGTATGGTCCATATGCCCCGAGTCAGGATGGCTGCTCCCACACAGCCCAGCGTGGTAGCTGATGGCAGTTCAGGATGCTTGTTCCCGCGGCCCAGAACGGCCTCTTGCTCATCTTCTGTAGCGATAGAAGCTTCCCATGGGTGTGACGTGTCGCAGCTCTGTTCCTCCAAGTCCTCCTTTGTTGGGAATGTGGTGGGCAGAGTGCACTAGATCCTCCTATGGCCAAGGGAGCTCACGCCCTCAGAGACCAACGGGCAGGGTGAGGAGACACTCACCAGTGCCCGATCCTGGGCTCCTCCGGTACCTGCCCGTGGCAGGCTCTCCCCAGGTGGGAACACACCCTGTCAGGACCTTGTTCCGGTTCTGCTTGGTCCCATGTGACCAGGCCCTTGGTCCATCTGGTGTCTGTGCCCAAAGGAGCAGAGCTCAGGGCCGTGCCAGGACGTAGCGACTGGCGGCTGAGAGGTCCCACTGGTAACGCTCCAGGATGCGCCGGCAGTCCGCTCTGGACCAGCTGCTGAGATAGAAGAGCTGGTCCACCTGTGGGGACGAGAGGAAAGGCAGCTGGCGGCCAGAGGGCCAGGCTGGGAGGGGCAGGGACCCGAGAGAAGGGTGTGGCTGTACCTTGAGGTTCCGGATGGCAGAAGCCACGTCACCCCCGGTGGCTCTTAGAGCCTCCTGGCACTCCTGGTGGGTGACTCCATGCACGCTCAGCTCCACCTGCGGGGGACAAAGCCCCACTTAGGCCCTTCGCCAGCCCGTAGCCCCTTCTGGACACCAGGACTCTTCAGGGAGACCTCACCTCCATAATCCTCCTCTGCAACTCGGGGTCAGGCAAGGGTCCCCCAGAGGGGACGGCGGCTTTGCTGGCTCCAGGCGCTCCCACAGGGTGACTGTGTAGGGGTTCTCTTTTGGGCCAGGGAGGCCGCTCCCTGGGAGGCTGGCTGGGCTGGGAAGAGGAGCTGGTGGCTACGGGGGAGCAGGGGGGCACGCCTGGGGGTCCCTGGGGCACAGTTCTGGCATGTCGAAGTTCGGGGGAGCTCGACCCACCTCCTGTGGGGCGGGGGCCCAGGGACAGAACCGACTCCAGACTCTTGGAAATGCCTACACATTTGAGAAAAAATAACTTGAGAGAAAGCCCAGCTGCCTTCTTCCCATTCTCTGGCTATCTGTACTGTCCTCGGGGTGGTCTTCGTGTTGGGGGGACAAGAAACTAGGTGTGCAGGATGGACGCCCAGGCCGAAGCAGCTGAGGGTCCAAAGAACTGCCAGGGCTGCAGTGGGGAGACGCTGTCTGAAGTACAGCCAGGATGTCAGCAGGCAGAATGGGGGCCAGGAAACCACAGGTGGGGAAATCATATCTGCACAGGCAGGGCTTCAGAGCAGGGGGCATCGCCAGAGGCTTGTCCTTGACGTCCTCGGAGACCCTGGAAGCCCTGTCCCCACCGCCATGCCCACCTTTCGTCCTCTGCAGGGCCACATCCCTTCTCTGGCCCCGAGCTGGAGGGGGATCCCGAAGCTTTACCTTCACTCTGTCCCTGTTGGAGAGTGTTCCAGTTCGTTCTCCACACCCCCCAGCCCTACCCCATATAGCAGTGCCCTCTCCCAAGGAATCTCTGGGGCTTCCAGGCAGGCCGAGACCCAGAGTGGAAGCTCCAGCGGGAAGGCAAGTCCAGCCTCCCCCCCAGCTTTACCCCATCCGCCTCCCCAGGCTCCCCTTCCAGAGAAGTTGCTAGACTTGGTTGGTTCCCCCAGTCCAGCTCTGCCCCCAACTGTATCAGGTCCTCACCCATCTATGTTTCCCTGGCGTCGCTCTCCCCGGGCAGGGGAGCCTCTGAGGACTGGACGGGTGGCTGGTGAGTCTACCAGCGTCACTGCCGAGGCTGGGAAGTTGCCCGCTTTGAATGTGCGACCATTCTGGCCCTTCCAGGTTGTGGAGTCGGGGCTGTGGGAAGAGGCGCTGGTGAAGGGGATGGGAGCCAGGGGAGAGTGAGGGCTGGGCTCCAGCCCACATTCAGCTCACAAGCTGTGCGCCATGGAGCTGCATCTGCCTGGAGGAAGGGAAGCTTTTTTTCTCTCTAAAACAAAAGGGCTCTATGGGCCAGCGGTGGCTCCAGCCCGGAGGCCAGGACTGTGGTGGAGCTCTCGGGGCCCAGTGGGGAGAGGAGGAGATGAGGCAGAGCATTGGGGTTCAAGCAGCTGGGGAGAAGCTGAGCTGGGACCAGGGCCAGGAGGGTGGGGAGGGAGTCCTCCCCCTGGGGATGGGTGGGAGGCACGAGGCCCTCACCTGCCCTCGATGATAGTGATGGGGTCACCAGGCTCCATCCTCAGGGCACCGGGCTCTGTGACGTCCCTCACACAACGTCCCTCAGGAGGCCACGCCTATAGAGACAGGAGGAGAGGGTGGCTGGGCTTGTGGCCTGAGTCAGAAGGGTAATATCATGGGAACAGAGTGGAGACTGTTCGTGTACCCACCAAGCAAACCCATATCAGGTATGTACTCTGTCCTGGCCCCAGGGTGGGACTGTCCCTGTCCCTCAGTTGTAATCCAGTGGAGAAGGCAGACCTGGATTCCATGCCAAGCTGGACACAGCCCAGGGGTCAAGGAGCAACAAAGGGGGACCCTGCCTCTACCTAGGGGACCAAGGGGAGAGTCACCCTGCACACTGCTTTTACTCCACACCCAGGCCCATCATATCTGCCCCCCAAGCACCTCTGGGAATTTTCCACTTCACCATAGCACCACTGCCTCGACCCTCGTCCAGACCTCTTCATCTTACTTCTGCTTCACAGCCACTGTGGCCTACTGGTTTTTCTACCTTCAGTACCGTCCTTCTAATCCATTCTTGCACCAAACCAGAGTGACATAACCTGGAAATGTGGCTTATAACTCCCCTGCTCACAGCCCTTTCCATGGCCCCCAGGTGCCCTCAGAGTTAAGGACTAAACTCCTTTAATAGTAGAGTACATAGTGATTTACGGCACAGCGCTGAAGTCATATTGACTGATTCAGATCTCCATCCTCCACTTCCTGTGTGACTTTTGGCAAATCGCTTAAACTGTCAGTGCCTTAACTGCCCCCTCTCTAAAATCGAGCTGGGTTGTTGTGAGGATTAAATGAGTGAACACGTATAAGGATACACGTAAGGCACTTAGTACAGTATCTTACACAGATCGAGTGCTCTAGGTGTTAGCGCTGGTTATTTACCGTGTCTCACAAGTCCCTCCTTGGTGCACCCCTAAGATGCCTCTGCCACCTTAATCACCGTACTTCCCCCTCCCACGCTGAACCTTTCCTCTGCCTGTCAAACACCCACTACATCCTACTGCTCTGGGCTCTGGGCTTCCCTCTCTCTGCTCCAGCCCCCGGCCCTTCAGCCTGCATCCACTAGACCCCAGCTGTCTTCCTGGGGCTCTGAGCACCCTGAAGGCAGGGACTGGATCTGCTTCGTTCAGAGCCAAGTCCCAGACCCCAACCCGGGAACCAGTATACATTAGTCTTGTGCATGGAACCCTAGGAGAGGGAACGGAGGGAAAAGAGACTGAGTGTTTCTGGGGAGGCAGGAGTTCCCACCTCTTGGAGCAGCCCTTCTAGGTAGGAAAAGGTGGGCCGGTCAGCAGGGTGGGGGGCCCAGCAGCGCAAGGCGAGGGCGTAGAGGGCCCTGGAGCAGAGCGGAGGCCTACGCAGGCGGGCTCGGTCGTTCTCCAGCCGCTGCAGGATGAGGTACGGCGGGACCCCGGCCCAGGGCTCCTCGCCCCCGGAGAACATCTCCCACAGCGTCACCCCAAACATCCACACGTCCGAGGCAGAAGAGAAGGCCCCGTGGCGCAGGCTCTCCGGCGCACACCTGCGGAAGCAGAGCTGAAGGGGGCTGGATGTGTGCCGGGTGTGTGCCCCGGAGCGCCCACCTGCCACTGGGCACGCCCCTTTAGTGCGCCCGCCGTGGTGTTCAGAAGTCCTCCTTTCCTGGCCCTTCCAGACCCGACGACGACTCCTCCAGTCCACGCCTCCCTCAGAGGACCAGCCCCTCCGCACCCCCTCAGCTCCTGCCCTTCAGATCCCTCCCCTCCGCCCGACCCCTCACCAGGCGTAGGGGATGCGGCGGGGTCCGCCCATGACGTAGTGGCCCTGAGCGCCGCCCAGCGGCCGCACCAGCCCGAAGTCAGCCACCTTGATTGTGCGCGGTGAAGCCAGCAGCAAGTTGCGCGTAGCAAGGTCTCGGTGCACCAGCCCGCGGGCCCCCAGGTACGCCATGGCCCCCGCCACCTGCCGCAGGAAGAGGCAGAGCAAGGCCACGGGCAGCGGGGGCGTGGGGGCCGGGGCGGTCAGGCGTGCGTGCAGGGAGCCCAGGGGCGCCAGCTCCATCACCTGTGGGAGCACAGCCGTGCGAGCGGTGGTCCGGCCACACGAGACCCTGGCGCTCACCCTCCTGTCGCACATCGGCCCCCGGAACTGTCCCGGGAGCTGGCGTCTGGGTCTGCTCACCATCTGCAGAGGCTGGCCCAGTACGAGGCCGTGCAGACACAGCAAGTGTGGGTGTTCCAAGTTCATCATGATGGATACCTCTCGCAGGAAGTCCCCTAGCTCAGTGCCCTCGGGGCCTTCGGGACCCACCCGGAGGGACTTGACAGCCACTGGGACCTGGGGGTGGGGGGAAGCACCATCAGGCAACGTAGGGAACAGTTAAGCCAAGGCCAGAGCAGAGAGGCACACAGAACAGAGGGAGAAGCTGACCCAGGTACCCAGAATGAAGTGGGCTCCCTGGAGACTCACAGCCTTGCCACTGGGCAGTGTCCACAGCCCTCGGTGCACCACACCAAAGCAGCCGGAGCCCAGAAGCTCCCCTCTGCACACAGCCCGGTCTGGGATGAGACACTTGAGTCCCCCATCTGGCTCAGGGAGGGATGGAAGGCTGTCTGAGGGTGGGGTGGTTTCCTTCTGCCCTGGGGCAAAGCCCCCAAGGATCTGAAACAGTGGTGGAAATCACGTGTGTGGAACCCTGCATACATCCTTCTCTGCCACTCAGCCCAGCCCCTGCCGGGGCCTGAGCTGGCCCTTTAAGCCTCTCACCGCTGCCCCAAAACACACACCTTGTAGACCCAGTTCTTAGACTTGAGCCCCGAACGGTGCCTCTTCAGAGCTTCAGCCAGTCTACGCTGGGCTGGGGGAGGCCAGAATCAGAGGGATGGGGTAATGGGGGAGGCGGGGAGCAGGATGCAAGGGATTTACAGGCAAGGAGGGGCTGGTGGGTGTGGTGGTGGGGGGAGAGTAGCAACTAACAGTCTGCGGAAGGAGACAGCGGGGCCTTGGGGCAGGGGACCCTCACCAGGCCGGCCCATGCCAACGCCGTCCAGATCCTCAGGTCTTACAAAGTCGAAGTGCTCTGGCCGAGTAACATTAAGCTCCTCAAGGATGGGTCGGTAAAACTGGGCCAGCTGGACGTCCTGGAGCAGCCGGAGCAGCCACAGGGAGCCCGCCTCGTGGAGCATGTCTGGAGGAGGAACCCCTGTGGTGCCCTGTCCCCCAGACACATGGCCCAGGGTGGGCACCTGAGACACTCAGGAACCAGAGACATGGTTGCCTGCTCCACCCTCAACCCCTCAGAAATACTCAGGTACAGAGGGAGGGACACCAGAACCAACCAGGATTCCTGCCCCTCACACACACAAACCCCAGGAAGAATGTTCTCCTCACACCTAAGATTTCAGCGCTGCACAGACTCCAGGTGTGTGGCCCTGCTCACTTTGAGCTATTATGACACACTGCCCGTACCCCTAGGCCACCCAGATTCACCACCTTTTAGGCCTGAGGTGCACCCTTGTACACACCCACTCAGGTACACCTGAGACATCCTGACCCACCACATACACTCCAGAGATGCCCAGATACACTAACCACACCATACCTGAGATACGCAGGTACAACACACACACACTCACACACTCCTATAGATATGATGCAAAAGACACCTGAGACACCCAGATACATGTCCTCTCAAAGCTGAGGCATTCCAGTATACGCTGCCGTAGAACACCAGGTTTCCTGCCAGGTACCCCACACACACACCTACTTGAGACATGTTGAGTTCACTGCCTCCAAGATACACCGCCTCATGTCTGAGACACCCAGGTCCACACAAACACACACAACACACAAGATATCAAGTTACGGTGTCCACACATACCTACGTTATGTGGGCAGACTGCCTCCTCTGCCCAGAGACGCCCAGGGTCATTGCCTCCTCTACACCCGAGGCAGCAACATTTGAGATCAAATCGGGCATTTGTGATGGGCGGTTAAGCTCAGGTACTGCTCAGAGCCACCCAGTCTGCCAGGTGCACAGTCCCTTCCACACCCACCTGAGCTCAGCTCCAGGTACAGAGCCTGGCCGGCACACCTGAGTCACTCGCTCTAACCTGGCTCCAGGGCAACTCCACCAATCTTTATTAAATAAGGTTCTAGGTGATCTGGGTGCCGGCTGCCTGCACACACACCTGGCCCCCTCCCTCCCCCTACTTAGTGAAGGCCGGAAGAAGCGGAGGACCCCAGGCAGGGTCCAGATGGACACTCGGAGGTGGCGAGGGATCGAGCACGAGCAGGGGCGGGGAAGGCGAAAGCCCAGGACGCTGGGAGACCAGCACCAGTAGCCAGGTGAGAAGGGGAAAGCACGAGATGGGGGACAGGAGGAGACGCGCCCGCGGAAGGTAAGGACTGGGGAGGGGAGGCTCAGCACCCGCGGACGCGCTCCCAAGCGACCGCCGCCCCGCCAGCCCGCTCGCCGGCGCCCCTGCCTCTCCGTACCCTCACCTCGCGAAGGCGGAAGCGGCGGCTGGGGAGCCTCCCAGGCTGCCGGGACTAAATCCCGAGGAGGGCGGGACGGAGGCCGCGGGGGGCGGGGCCTGGCGGCGTGGCCCGGGTCCACCGGTGGACTAGGTGAGGGCGCCTGGCGGCCGGTCCTCAGCCAGCCAGATCCTGAGAAGCCTCCCTTCCCCTGTCCTTTGCTCGCCTCCTTCCCACCCTCTCTCCACCTTCCCACCCCCTTTCCAGACTTCTCCAAAGAACTTCTCACCCCTCCCTGGACTTCCTCCTCGGTATCCCGTCTCCGTCTCCCCTACCTCCTCTTACCAAGTCCTCCACCTCTCTCAAGCAGAGCCCCACCCCTTAAATGAATACGCACCTAGTAGAGATATCCCGCCCAGGCCCCGGGAACATAAGGCTAAACAGGACATAGTCGCAGCCCCCTAGTAGGGGAGAGGGCTTCCTGGCACTCTGATGGAGGAAGCCGGCCTGGTGCAGCGGACTTGGGAAGGGCGCCACGGCGGAGGTGTTGATGGTGGTGCACGAAGTCAGCTCCCAGCCCGGACAGAGTCTAAGACTGAAGCCATTGGCGTTTTCCCAGCTCTGAATGTCCTTTTCCCCGTCTAATGTGCTGCCCCTGAAAAAGACCATTTGGGGAGCTCCGCAGGGTGGAATCTGTGGGGATTCTTGTGGAGGGGGCTGGGGGTGGAGACAGCTTCTGAGTGGCTCCTCAGCCCCATCCCAGCTTGGTACCTGGTCTTGGTGATCAAGGGCGGCACTCCATGCCTCAGGGCGTGCATTCCCATCACTGGCACTTCCTGGCCTCATTCTGGCATAAGCCCCTCCCCACATGTCACCTCTGCTGACCCCAGGGCCCAGTATGGTGCAACTTGGCCTGTGGGGCAGGGACACAGTCTGGCTCAAAGAAGGCTCTGAGGAGAAGGATGCTCTCTCCTTTTCCCTCAGGGGTCCCAGGGAGGAAGCCATCAGCCTTAGGACATCTGGCCTGTCTCCTTCTGTCTCAAGGAAGGATGTGTAAGCATAGCAGCTGCTGTCCCCAGAGTCCCTTGGGAGGAAAAGCCCACCTCATCTTGGTAAACACATGGGAAAATCCAGCCTTAATGGGAAAAAAATCATAGTTCACAGTTCTACTTCTGTGGTTTTCTTGCCAATTCTCTTGCCCTCCAACCAGGCCAGGTGACAGATGTGATTGTTCCCTCCACATCTGTCATCTCTGATATACTGTGGGCTAGCTCCACACAGTAGGGGCTGGATCTGTCTTGTTCCTCCTAAGGTACCTGGGACAGTGTAGGCATATCATAGGTGCAATGCATATTGGTTATGAAGAAGACTGCTCAATCTAATTGTTATTCCTTTGTAGGTGATCTGTCTTTTCTCCCTGCTTTTAAGATATCATTGGTGTTTCATAGTTATAGTACAAAGAGTCTAAGTATGGATCCCTTTCTATTAATTCTATTGTATTTCCTTTGTTTATGAATTCATATCTTTCACCAGTTTTGGAAAATTATCAGCCAGTATCTCTCCAGATACTCTTTTTCCTCCTTTCCTTGTGTTCTCTCCTTTGAGGACTCTGATTAGAAGTACGCTAGGCCTTTTCACTGTCCTCCAAATCTTTTTTTTTTTTTTTTTTTGTCCTTCCAATCTTTTAACTCCTCTTCCGTATTCTCCGTTCTTTGTGTCTCTGTAATGCAATCCAGGTCATCTCTTCAACTCTCTTCCAGTTCACCAATTCTCTCTTTGATTATGTCTGATGTGCTGTTTAATCCATACACTGACGGGGTTTTGTTAGTTATAGTTATATAAACATCACTAAACTTTCTATACTGACAGTACTTCACTGAGATATAACATATTCAGTAACATGCACAGATTTAACTGTACGGTTCAATGCATTTCAACAAATATACATATCCATTAATGCAAATAAAGACCCGAAACATTTCTTTCTTTTTTTCTGTTTTTTGGTAAATATTTATTTATTTATTTGGCTGCACCGGGTCTTAGTTGCAGCACGCAGGATCTTCGTTGCGGCACGCAGGATCTTTTATTTAGTTGTGGCATGTGGACTTTTTTAGTTGCAGCATGCAAACTCTTAGGTGTGGCATGTGTGATTTAGTTCCCCGACCAGGGATCGAACCCAAGCCCCCTGCATTGGGAGCGGGGAGTCTTTTTTTTTTTTTTGCGGTACGCGGGCCTCTCACTGTTGTGGCCTCTCCCGTTGGGGAGCACAGGCTCCGGACGCGCAGGCTCAGCGGCCATGGCTCACAGGCCTAACCGCTCTGCAGCATGTGGGATCTTCCCGGACCGGGGCACGAACCCGTGTCCCCGGCATCGGCAGGCGGACTCTCAACCACTGCGCCACCAGGGAAGCCCGGGAGCGCGGAGTCTTAACCACTGGACCACCAGGGAAGTCCCCAGATCATTTCTGTGATCCCAGGAAGTAGCCTTATGCCCATTTTCAATCAATGCCATTCCCCAGAGGCAACTGCTATTCTTTTTTTTTTTTTAATTTGGCCATGCAGCGCAGGCTTGCAGGATCTTAGTTCCCCTGACCAGGGATTGAACCCGCGCCCTTGGCAGTGAAAGCGCTGAGTCCTAACCACTGGAATGCCAGGGAATTCCCCAGCAACTGCTCTTCTGATTTCTAAAACCCATAGATCACTTTTGCTTGCTCTGGACCTTTCTGTCAATGGAATCACACACTGTTTATTATTTCCATTTGGCTTCTTTCACTCAACCCATTTTGAGATTCATCTTGGTGTTGTCCAAGTTCTTGGTGGGAAACACAATGCTCCATGAGCATCTTCAGGGAAGAGCATGTGAAACCTGATTTTCCTCTGAATGTCCAGTGTCCTCACAGATCTGGGGGCACTAGAGGTCCTCTGGGAGTTGAATGAATACATGAGTGTAGAGCACGTGGGGGGATATGAAGGCAAATGCAGCCGGAGAGGCTGGCAGAAGCCAAACTAGGCATCAGTTCAGCCTTCCAGCAAGCTTTCACGGTTCTGGGGACCCAGGTGAACAAGCTGACGTGATCCTTGCCCTGGTTGGATTCATTCTGCAGGGTCTTGCAGAACACACTCAGGAGCTTGGGCCTTACCTGAGGGCTCTGGTAACCACTGAAAGGTTTAACAGGTTAGTGACAGAACCAGCCTGTGGTAGTAAGAGGCTAGGGAAAGGTGAGAGAGAAGCAGCAGGGAGCTCAAGGAAGAGGCCCTGACCACTGGTTCAGGGGAGAGAGGCTGCCCCTGCCTGGACCTTGGCTGTGGGATGGAGAGGAGGCTGAGGATGGGGGTTGCTACTGATTGGACTCCTAGCCTAGGTCCTCTGTGCTCCAGCAGGAAACCAGAGGCAGGGGCTCTGCCCCACCTTTGTCTTTGGCTTGGAAAAAACCTAGGGAATCAGAGGCCCCTTTATCCCTCCACTTCTCCCTATTCGTTTCTTACTTTTGGAGTTAAGCGTCTCTCATCTCCACCTTTGCCCATAAAGGATGATGGGGTGTGGGGGAGCACAGCCTGACCATCCTCACCCCCACTGGGAGCACCTCCTCCAGGCTGAGATGGGGCATCCTGCTAACACTTAAACTTGGAGGCCCAGATCGAGCACCACCCCCTCCATCTGCCTTTCCCCAACCTCTGCCCTGCCTGCAGGCCCTGCATCCGAGAAAGATGAACACATCCACACCACCAGGGCCAAGTCTTTCTCTGCAGGGCAGAGAACCAGGAGGACGAGTAGAGAGGGCACCCAGGTGGCCAACCTCCCCTCTCCCACCTTGGGTTTGGGTGAGGAGTAGGGCCCATCCTTGTGCAGAAACCTCTCGGCTCCTATCAGGAACGACATTGGTGCCTCTTTACCTTATCCTTTTCTCCTCTGAGCCCTGAGGTCACTAGGCTCTCCCCCTTCCACCTGACCCACATCAACCTCTGGGCCCGGGAAAGCACCGCAGCCTTCTGGCTGTCTCTCTTCTGAACCTTTGCATGGCTGTTCCCTCTGCTTGGAAGTCTTCCCACCCTTCTCCCAACCTGGCCTTGCTAAGTTCAGGAAGACTACTCCTAACTGGTCAGGTCTCTTCCCCTGCACCCCAAGATCCCTGTGCTTTCCCGTCATTGCACTCATTGCTCTGGTAGAATTTGCCAGTAACTTGTCTGTCTTCCCTGCTAGATTCCAAGCTCCAGGTAGAAAGTGACTTCATCTTGCCTGGGCATTGCTAGGTCCCCCGTGCCCAGTCTAAGTGCCTGACTTATAAGTGCTCAGTAACCTTTGCTGAACAAAGGGATGAGACAGAGTCATCTGGGTAGAGTGAAACAAAGATTTTTGACATCATGAGCTCCTTTGCTGGGAGTGATGGGGATGACAGTTTCTAAACTTTATCTGTAAACATTCTCCTGGTGAACCCATCCCTGCCCCCCTCCCCATGTGGCACTCCCTGGCGCCACATGGTTAGCTCCCCCCAGACCCTTGGGTAAAACCCTCTGTTCCATCACCCCATCTCCATCTCCCAGGACCCTGAGGTCCCATCCTTTCCCAATTTGCATTTGCCTCACTCATTAATGGAGTCACCAGCCCACCACCTTGTATATATCTGGTGGTTTACTTTCTGAAGTGGAAGGACTCCTTTTTTATTTTTTTCCCTTATTCTTTGGCTGCACCGCGTGGCAGGTGGCATCTTAGTCCCTGACCAGGGATCGAACCCAGGCCCCTTGCCTTGGAAGTGCGGAGTCTTAACCACTGGACCGCCAGGGAAGTCCCCTAAGGTGGAAGCACTCTTGTATCTACCATATTCCTTCAGGCTCATAATGGAGCTGAGGGCCTTTACAGAGCAGTAGCTGAGATCTCACCTCTGGAGCCTGACTACCTGAGTTTGAATCCCCACTTTACCACTTACCATCCTAGAAATCTGAGCAAGTTACTTCACGTTTTTATGCCTCCGTTTCCTCATCTTCAAGATGAGCTTGTTAGGAGTATCTACCTCGCGGGGTTATTGGAGAATTAACTGTGTCTAGGTGTGTGGTAGCCAGTCTCCAAAATGGCTCCCAACGAACTGCCCTCCCGATGTCACAGTGCTGTGCCTTCCCACAATGAATACGGCTGATCCGTGTAAGCGATGGGATATTGTGAAAAGAATGGCGTGTGACTTCTGAGCTAGGTCGTGAAAGACAGTGTGGGTTCTGCCTTCCTCTCTTGGGTCACTCGCTCTGAAGGAGGCCAGCCACCATGTCCTGAGGCAAGTCAAGCAGCCCTATGGAGAGACTCCTGCCGGCAGCCGGCACCGACTTGCCAGGCGTGTGAGTGAGCCATCTTGGAAGCTGATCCACCAGCCCTTAGATTTCTGCAACCCTGACCAACATCCTGACTGCACCCTCATCAGAAACCCTGAGCCAGAAACATCCATTTTAGCTGCTCCTGAATTTCTGATCCACAGAAACTGTGAGATAGTAAGGCTTTATCGTTTTAGACAATTGAGTTTTAGAATAATTTGTTACACAGCTATAGATCACTAATACAATGCTTCAAATGCTTAGAATGATGTCTGACATGTAGTCTCCATACCTGTTAGCCATCATTAACTCCATTTTACAGGTAGGAAGACTGGCTCAGGCTGGTGAAGTGATGTTTCTCATGTACATACATAGCTAGGAAGTGGCAGGGCCAGCAATGTCATCAACCCAGGGCCTTTATTTATTTTATTTTATTATTATTATTTTTGGCTGTGCCCCACGGCATGCGGGATCTTAGTTCCCCAACCAGGGACTGAACTCGAGTCCCCTGCAGTGGAAGCGCAGAGTCTTAACCACTGGACCTCCAGAGAAGTCCCAACCCAGGGCCTTTAGTGCCAGCTCTTAGGTCTTTTTTTCTGCCCCACTGTTCCAGTTATCTATTGTTGAGCAACAATGCCTAGTGGCATTAAAACAACTATTTTATTATGCTCTAGACTTTTAGTGTCTGGACCTCCAACAGAACACTGTGGGAATGGTTTATCTCTGCTCTACTATGTCTGGGGCCGTGGGTGGAAAAACAAAGTCTGGGGATGACTTGACAGCTGTGGTATCACTCACACGTCTGGCAGTAGATGTTGGCTTTTGGCTGAATCCCTCCATGAGGACTCTGTTTTTGGCTGCACCACGCGGCATGTGGGACCTTAGTTTCCGGACCAGCAATTGAACCCGTGCCCCCTGTAGTGGAGGCACAGAGTCTTAACCACTGGACCACCAGGGAAGTCCTCCATGTGGACTCGACGTAGGCTGGGCATCCACATAGCATGAGTGACTGAGTTCCAGAGTGAGTATCCCAAAAGGCAGAGGGCAGAAGGTGCTAGATTCTTAAGGCCTGGGCTCAGAAAGTGGCACACTGTACCTTCTGCCACATTCAATTGGCCTGCTAGTCACGGAGCCCAGGTTCAAGGGAAGGATACATAGAACCTACCTCTAGGTGGGAGGCATGTCAAAGAATGTGGGGCCATTGTTTAAAACTGCCACACCCACAGAAGCCTCCCGTTTGGTGAGGGGCTCAGAAAAACCATCCCTGCCCTGGCAGGCCACACTGCGGTCGGTTGGCCTTATGCGCACAAAAAAAGCACAAACTCCACCAGCCTCCTGTGCTAAGTGCTCATGAAGGGCTTATATGGGGAAGGCATATCACACGGGTTCAGAGAAGGTGCTGGAGTCGTCAGGGACACTTCCTGGCATCTCCCATGTGCCAGGCTCTGAGGAAACAAAGACACAAAACCTTAAGCAGTGGCTTTAGAGAGGAATGCGTGGTGTAGAGGGAAGATGTGTAAAGAAACACCACCACCTGATGTAACAGGTGCCACATGAGAGATGCCTAGAGCAGACTCATGCCACTCTGACTCAGGAGCTCAGAGAAGGCCTCTCAGAAGAGGTGATATCTGAGCCAAAGGAGATAGTCATTCCAGGTAGAGGCACAAGACTGGACAAAGGCGAGCAGACATGAGGAAACAGTGTTGGGGCAACTAGAAGTGACTCAGTATGGCTGTGAGGTGGGCAGAGCTGAGATAAAGCTCCAGGGACACCTGGGGGTCAGATTCCAAGAAGTATGACCAAGGTAGATCACCTACAGGTAAGAAGTGGGCACATGGCATGAGAGGAGGAGGATGCCCATGACACTGTGGGCACTGCCATTAAGCCTGAGAGATCCCAGGAGGGGCTGGGGTCAGGAGGAAGGCGTGTCTGAGGGAGGTGGACACGTGTGGAGTCTGAGATGCCTGTGGGGCGTTCAAGGGAGATTCCAGTTCTGTGTCTGGACAGTTCTGGCCTGATGACTATATAAGATGGTGGGAGCTGCTGATGGAGAGCCTTGAATGTCAGGGTCAAGGGCCAACTCTATACTCTGCAGGCAAGGAAGAGCTAGGGAAGGTTTTAAGTAAGAGATTATAATGGCTGATAGTTAATGAGGGCCCATTACACGTTGGGCACAGTCCCAAGGATTTTATATGGACTGATTTGGACCTCGCAGTAATTCTGTAAGGTCAGTACCGCTGGGTTGAATTTAAGACATCATCAATTGTAAAATATACCATTATGCCATGACATATCTTCAATTTAAGATGGGTTCTTCAGAGATGTTCAAATGTAAACAGAAAAAAAAAAAAAAAGCCATGGACTCAAGGAAATATATGATCTGCATTTAAAACATGAGGAAACAGGAACAGAGAAATTAAATGACTTTCCCAAGGTCCAGTAAGAACCAGAGCCAGGATTTGAAGTCGGGCAGCCCAACTCCAGAGCCCAAGTTCTAAGCATCATTTGATACTGGACAGGATGTTTGAGCGATGTGGAGTTTTAAGAAGACCAGTGTGGCCACTGAGGGTGCAGTGGATTTGAGGGGCGTGGGCAGAGTCAGATGCACATCTGGGAGACTCGGGTCCACGACGAGAGGGTTCTAGAGTGGGCTGGGGGCCATAGAGCAGGAGGAGGAGACAGATGGGATAGAGATCCTTCAGGAATGGACAGAACGGTTGACCCACTGCACATTGGGTGTGAAAACAAGGACAGCTCCAAAATGTTGAGCCTGGAAAGAGGGCACAGCCTAAGAGGGTGTGAGGCAGCTACCGCAAACCAGAGGAGAGCTGTGGTGCCTGGGCAGTCGGGAGAGGGTTTCTCACCCCAGTACGGGCAGCAACGCTGCCTGGCACGTGACCGGCAATCCCTTAGTATTTGTCAAATGAATGAATGTATGAATCATTGTATGATCTCGGGCAAGTTGTACGACCTGGCTGTGTGATCCCGGGGTCTCATTTTTTGGTGTAAAATGAAAGGACTGGACTAGAATGTGCAGATCAAAATAGAAGGTGTTCTCCTGGGAGGGGTAAGCATTCCCCTCTCCATCCCCAGGACCTTAATGGATCCCCCAAACAGTGGTTCTAACCCTGGCTGTAAGTTAGATTAACTGAAGCCCCATACAAGACCACTAAACTCAGAATCTCTGGAGATGAGGCCCAGCAACAGGTAGTTTTTTTTTTTTTTTTTTTTTTAACAGGTAGTTTTTAAAGTTGCTCAGATGACTCCAATGTCCAGCTGGTTGAGAACTGGGAGCCTCTAGGGACCCAGTTTGTAAACCACGGCGCTAGGTGAAGGCCGGCCCAGGTCCTCGGGCTGAGACTTACGGTGGGTGATAGGCCTCTCTTTTCATGTCCCATCTCCCATCCCCCAAACCCAAACTCCTGATAGCCAAAGGACCAAATACCAGGGTCTCTCAACCACACACTGCTGACGGTTCGGACACGCACGATAGCTCTTTGTCGTGGAGGACTTTCCCGGGCATTTTTGGATATTTCGCGGCGTCCCTGGTCTCTGCCTACTAGACGCCAGTAGCACATCCTCAAAACCCCCAATCAAAACAATCAAAAATGTCTCCAGATATATTGCCAAACGTCTCATCGCGTGCAAAATCCACCCACCCCCCCGGCTGAGAACCACTGGGGCTACAAGAGGCTCCCGCGCTCCCTCTGCCCTCCCCAGTCGCAGACAGAGGCCAGGCAGAGGTCGAGGCCATTTGACAACAGGTTTAGTTGGGCCTCTGTGGGAGCCTTCACAGTATTAAATGGAAGGGTAGCATGCCAGCAGTCTGAGTGATGTGGTCTCACTCTAGGGGGAGGGACTTTTCCAGAACACTCATTCCCGGATTCCCAATCAGTCACAGGAGGGCCAAGAGGAGCTTCTGGGGCAGACAGCCCCCGCTTTCCGGGAACAGGCAGAAGGGGGTGTGGGAGTGGGAGTGTGTATGGAGGGGATTCTTTCCTTCTGTAGATATTTTCCTGGCACGGTGACTGCCTCTGTCTGATTGGTTGAGGACTGGAGGGGAGGAACTTTCCAGCTGTGGGTGCCTGGGTCCCTGGACGCCATCTGACGCTGGGATTGTGGGGATGTCTGGGTATCAGGGTCTGGAAGACTGAACCGTTGGGGCTGGAACTAAGGCTCTGGTTGCCCCCCTCCCCCCCCCACCCCGCCCCACGAGAGAAGTGGAAGTTGTGGGCACATGCTCCTTAGAACTGGAGGCTAAGATGTGTCCTCGTCTTCACAAGTCACTTTTTGCTTGGAGGTGGCTGTACCTGAGGGAAGACAGAGGGTGGGAGTCCAGGGAAGGGAAGGGGAGGGGGCTGGGAGGGAAAGAGGAAGGATGGGGGGTGGGGAAGGGTACTGATGGGTCGGAGGTAGTGAGGCTGTTTCTGGCCCTTATCCCCCAACTCACTCCACCGCGAAGCTCAGAATACCCAGGAGGAGGGCGGCTCCGGAGACAAAGAGCAGCAGAATCCTGGCTTCCCAAAGATCGTGACTTCCTGCAGGGACCCCAGGAGGCAGTGAATGATCCCGGGGACCACACCCATCGATGCTGGGGTAGCCTAACAGCTCAGAGATCTGCGCGGGGTGAGGCAGGGGTGGGGAGTAAGGACCTGGGAAGCAGCGCTTTCGGGGCCAGCAGTACACCTCGAAGCCCTGGCAGGTGGAGCAGTTGTACAGGATGGTGCTGCCCCCTGCAGGAGACAGCAGGACCAGCTCTGGGGCGGGAAGCTTCGCTGAACCCTGCGAGAGTCCCACACTTCCTCCCCAAACTGCAGGCTCTCCTCAGGTCCCCCGAGGCCCCTGGCCCTTGCTACCCCTTCCCTTTCCTACTCACGGCAGGCGGGAGCGCAGAGAGCTGAAATGAAAGACAAGGAGGATGGGGGTGGATGAGCTCAGCCACACCCTCCTTTGCCTGAGGACCTAGGCACCCCTTGATCCCTCCCCGCATCAGTACCTTCCCTGTTGTATTCTGGGAGCTTGGTCTTTTGAAGCCATTTCCAATATGAAAGGAGTGAGGAGAGAGACCCTTCGATCTCTGGGGAGGCAGAGAGCAGCTTTAGTGCCCGGGGTCTCAGCAGGGCCGGTTCACCTCCACACCTTCACCCAGCGCCTCCCCATCACGCCCTCCTGTCTCCACCCACCCACCACCCTTCCCTGCCTCCCCAGCCCCCTCCTCCCAACCCCCTCCTTGGTGCCATCCAAGCCCCTGCGTTGTACCTCCCCCTCGGCCTCACCCATGACCCTCAGGACTCTGTGAGTCTTCTCTGTGACTTTTTTCAAGGATGCATCATCTGTGGAGATGGATAAGGACCGGGCGAGATTCCCTCATTGGCCCAGAAGGAGGTTCTGGGGCCTTTCCTGACTTTCCCAGGGTCTGAAGAAGCTCTCCCAGAGGGAGAGGCCAGTGTGTCCAGAGAGGCCAGTGGACTGAGAAGATGGCTGAGAGGCACAGCTGGGAGGCCACATGCAGCCCCCTTAGGGCACAGGGGTGACTGTTGCTGAGCCCATCCCTGGATGTCTGATCTTACCTAAGGCAAAGGCCGAGAAGTTCCAGGAGACTTCACAGTCCTTCCACTGGGCCTCCATCTGGCTGCAAAGCTGAGCCAGGCGGCCCGACAAGTCACGGTCTGGGAAGCGGCAGAAGACACAGGCCTGGGCGGCTGCCAGGAAGATCCCACCTAGTGCCAGCATCCACATGAGGCCCGCTGCAGGTTCTGGAGCGGGGGCTGGCCCCACCCAGGCTGGGAAGGCCTTGGAATGCTCTGTGATCCTGGTTCCAGTCCTTTGCCTGGAGGTTCTAGAGTGTTCCAGAACAGTTGGAGTCTCTAGAACATTCCAGAACAGTGCACTGCTCCATCCCTGACTGACTGGGGTAAACCTGGGGCCCAAGGAACTGGGGCCAGAAGAAGAAACCTCTAGTGGGACATGGACAGAGAAAGCAGGTCTTCTGCTGTACTCCCAACCTAGCCCTCAGCAGCCTTTACGAGTTTGTGGTTCCAAGAGAAACTTTATTTTTCTTCTTGTAAATCATGACCAGTGATAAATAATAAGTGACTCCCCCAGTGAAGAAGTTGTTTGTGAGTATCCCATCCCTTTCCATATCCTCCCCCACTCTCTCAAACTCTTCTGTTCATCTCCTCTCTGCCCTGGGCAGCCTTGGGCTTTCCCCAGCTATCTCCTAGCAACAGGCTCATTGTTGCCTTAGTAACCGAGAGCTCTATACAGGCCTCCAAGGCCCAGCTAAGCCCAGTGACTTCTCTTACTTCTCACCAGAAGATCCTAGTGACTCAAAGCCCAGCAGGCCCCTCCTGCCTACGTGGTGATGTGAAGCACATGTACACACACACACCTTGGGATTAACCTAATTCTCAGTCTACTCACACCCATACCGCGGACACACCTGGTGCCAAAATAGTTTCTGAGCAACCCCAAACAGGCCTGGACACGCAGAGACCACAGAAAAGCCAGCACACAGACACCACCTCCAGCGACATGGATGGGAGCCAGGATGCCAGGGACCCATGCATCAGTCAGACTCACTGGCTAACAGGCACGTTCACATGAAGGAAGGAAGGCGAGGACGCAAGGAGATGTCCTGCTCCTCCCCATGGCCAGCCCCACCATCAATATGGGATCCTTTAAAACACTTGGATCTCCAGAGGGATGCTCCAGCCCCATAGTTAATGGGGATTCTCCTAGCCCCCTTGTGCCAAGCTAGGATGGGGTGTAGCCCTTCTGTCTCCCTCAGTGGTGGCTTGGAACACAGCAAAGAATCTCCCTTCCCGTGTTTCAGAGTGTTCTGACCTATCATTGGTCAGGCCAGGCCAGGCCACCAGCTCCAGGAGAAGTCACAGTCCAGAAGACCACATTAGAGCAATCTAAAGTCTCTCATTTCCCCCAAACCTCACTGTGCCTCCACGGTTCTGCTAAGCCTAGCCTGGGCAGAGAAGCATCCCCACTTTTCCAGACCCTGGATACTAAGCTCCAAGCAAGGAAACACCGAAGGTCCCCAGGCTCAGGCGAGGACCAGCCACGGAAGCTTCCCCACCCCTCCCAGGATTAGCACCAGTCCAGACCCTCTGGTGTCATGAGCCCTTGGGCTCTCTCCGGTTTGGGGATTCCTGCCCACATCTGGGCTCCAGTCAGGTGCAACGGGGCCCCTGACTCTCACAGCTCCAGGAGCAGAGCTAGGAAGAGGCTCAGGAGAGACTTCACCCTCTTTACTGACCCATTCTTTCTAACCCCCCCCTCGCCCACACAGTCAAACTGAAGGCAGCATTCCTAGTTCTCAGTTCCTAGTGCCGGACAAAGCGCAGAGATCGGGAGTTGAGCAGGTCTTCGGGGTCAGGGAAGACGGAGTCGAGACGGAAGCCATGCTCCAGGGCCACCCGCAGCACCTCCTCCAGGAAGCCCGGAGTGCCCACCACCTCCCGTCGCTCTCCTGGCCCCCCAGTCCACAGCGGCTGCAGCCCCAGTCTCCTGTACTCCACTTCGGGGAGCTCTGCAGGGCAGGGGGCCCATTCCAGATGAAAGTGTGGGCCTCCCTCCGCCCTGTCCTCATTGGCCACACCAAATCGGGCACGCATGGCACCCAGACACTCAGGGTCGGTGCAGAAGAGGTTGGCCCGGAAGGTGTCCACCTGGACAGAGCTCAGCTCATAGTGGTGTGGGCCCCGACGAGCAGAGAAGTGCACCAGGCGGGGGCTGCTATCTACATCTGCGTGGAGCAGGGCGGCTGTGGGTGCCGGGGTCCCCTGAGAGGCCTCCAGTTCCCGCAGGGCATCCAGGAGGGGCCGGATCTGGTAAAAGTCAGCCTCTGCCCTGAGAAGCGCTGTCTCCCCATATCCACAGGGCAGGTCCAGGCGGCCCAGCCGTAGGAAATTGAGGATGTGCCGGAAGGCCTTGCCATCTCGGTCGATAAAGTAGTGGCCGCCTCCCTGGGGATTGAGGTTGGGGGTCATGGGAGTACCAGCCCTAAACATGGCCCCCAGCATGGAGTCTGGGAATCGAGTCAGGGTCTCCAAAGTAGTGGAATATAGCGTGCCCCCGACATTCAGGGTCACGGGGCCCCCAAAGGAGGGGGGCGAGGAGGGCACAGGAGGAGGAGAAATTTTGAGGAGTATCGAAGACACCGAAAGAGAAGAAAAGGCAGAACTTCCTGGATGTGTGCAGAATTGGGTCGTAATGTTCAGACTGTCTCTGGGTCGGAGGCTCAGGTTGGAGTACAAGGCAGCAAAATTGGGGGCTCACCCCAGCTACCTGGGTGGTGGAGGATGGTTTCCGGGCACAGAAACGCCGGAAAGGTTGAGACAACGGATGAAACGAGCAGAGGGAAGTCAGAGAGGGACGGGAGATTTAGGTCCACACGCATCCAATTCTGGGTGGTCGGCGATTCCTTTCAGTGGTCTTCTGACAGTGGGTTTCCGCAATCCAACCAGCAGGTGACGGTGGCGAGCACAAGGCCGACTCTGAAGGGACCAGCTTCTCGGGCAGACCGCTGTCACCGTGGGCGAGTCCACGCAGGGCTCCGGGGGCCAGTCAGAGGCCTGGCCTGGCCTGGCTCCGGCGCTGGTCCCAGGAGAAGGAGGCGAGGCTGACCGGAGCCGATGGCGGAGGTGCCTCTGTATCGGCTGGGGAGCGAAGATACACGCTCAATCCGAGCTGGGAGGGTCCTAGGACTCCTATGGAAGCAGCCGGGAGTCTCGGGACCGGGCGCCGCCGCCTTCTCCGGGTTTCGCCGCAGCCGCTTAAGTACTCTCCGCCCCAAGGAGGTGGCCTAAGGGCAGCGGCCGGGGGCCCTTTAAGAGGCAGCCCCGCCCCCTGGGCGCCCCGCCCCCGCCCGGAGCGCGCGGCTCCGGTGGTGGTGGAAGCGGAGTGGCGAACTGGAGAGACGGGGCTGACGGGCTGGACTGGCGGACGCTAGCGCGGGTGGGGTCCGGGGGGTGACTCAGGCGCGTCGTTAAGGATGTGGCCGTGACGGCCCCGCCGGCCCCTAGGTGTGCCCGACCTCACGTCTGCAACTCGGCGGGGGCCGGCGTCTCCTATCCGGCAGCTAAAAAAACTGAGGCCCAGCCGTCGGGGGTTTTGGATTAGTTCCTTTTTAGTCGCTCCCGCAGGGAATTCCCGAGGGGGCGGGTGCTGAGTTGCCGCATTCCAGGGATGCTTCCGGGCTGGGGTGGCCCGAGCCAGCCTCTCCATCCCGGTCCTATGCCAGCACCCCCCATCCCCCCCAGAGAAGGCTGGACCCAGCCCACGCAAGCGGCCTCTGCCGGGCCTGACGGGTCTGACCACGTCTCCTGAGCCCGCCAGCCCCGCCTCAGAGCCGCCCGGCACTCGGGCCGAGGCCGAAGCTCCCAGTTCACTCCCCGGGAGTCGCCCCTCGAGTGACTCCAGTTCGCAAACTCCCAATCGCTCCTGCACCCCAGAAGCCTCAGTGTCCTACACCTCACCCGCCCGACGGGGATGCTCAATAAATGAACTTTGAAGAGCAAAGCACAAAGGCTTTAATAGAAAGGGGAGGGCGGTGGGAAGGGCAGGGATGGGAGGTGCGGGCCCTCGAAGGCCTGGGATCAAAGCGTGTGTAGGTCATGGCTACGCCGGCTCAGCTTCTCCGGGTTGTCGGACGCCATGAGGGAGAAGTCGCGGAAGATATCGAGATACGTCTCGTCTCCTGAGGGGAGGGAGGAAGGGCTGGGATGCCGGGTGGCTGGGCCCTAGCACGGAAGAGTACAATAGGGACAGCCCGGCCTGGTAAGAGCACGCGCTTCCAGCGTGGGTGGAAGGGACATCTGCACCGTCAGGGCGGCGCCCTCGCCTATTCTTTGCTCTGTTTCAAGGACCCGGTGCGTAGGATGGGCCCAATACATATTTGTTGAATAAATGATGTAATTAATCAATGAAGCTGGGCACAGGGGGTTGGGGACGGGTCACCAGCGGCCAGAAGCCCAGAGTTACAATGTTGTGTGGGGAAAGAGGGGGGTGGGGGGTACTTTACCAGCCTGGCCCTGGGCCGCATCGACCTCCCTCATCTTTGCCAATCGCAGCCTGAAGGGGAGGGAATTAAGGAATGAATGACATTCTCCTCACTCCCCCCGCCCCAACTCCCATCCTTTGAGCTGGGCTGTTTCATTCACCTGTTTCCCCAGGGTCTAGTGCTTTAAAGACGCCAGACAACAATGTTAATGAATGATGCCTCTCTCAGAATAAACTCACCTTCCTCGGACCCTGCCCTCCCCCCTTCCTACTCCAAGCCTCAGTCAACACTTGGAGCATCCTTTCAACGTCTGGTCCTGGAGCTGGCCCCTCCCCTCCCCAGGCCCCGCCTAGCACGCAGGGGTCTCGGTGTTAGCCCCGCCCAAGTGGATAGTGCAAGCGCTAGCCCCGCCTCTTCAGGCATCCTCACAGAGTGACGATGTCAGCGTTGGCTGTTTCCACGGCGATGGTCAGGGGGTCTCTGCCTTCAGAGTCTCGGGCTCCCAGATCGGCCCCCCGTTTCAGGAATAGGCAGGCCAGCCTGGACAGGACAGCCAAGTTCAGCCGGCCCCTCACCCTGTCTGGAGCCTTCCTCCTCAAGGTCATTATCCCTGCCGCCCCTACCCCGTGTGGCCAAGAATGGTTGCGTGGTGGAGCGGGCCTCGGCCGTGGCTGTCCACTTGGTTCACGTTTGCCCCGTTCTGGAGGAGGAACTCACAGGCCAGAAGAGAATTCTGCGTGGAGAAATAGAGAATGGGGATAAAGGGTGGCATCTTTTGAGGCAAATTTAAAGATATTTTAGAGTGGGGTCAGTTCCGAGGGTGGGTATGGGATGGCAGGCTCTGCTCCGGCTCTTTACATGTATTCATACATTAAATCCATAGTACA